CGAAGACAGAAGAAAAGCCAGTCTTGTGCTTGTAAAGCTGGCACAAAGGGATGCCTTTAAAGAGGAGATGCAACTACTGAGTCAAGGTGCGCTGCCACATAGTCATCAGTTGTTTCAACTTGACCCAATATTGCAAGATGGTGTTCTCAGGGTGGGAGGGAGATTAAATAAAGCGTGTTTACCTCTCGACCTGAAGCATCCGGTAATCTTACCACGAGACAGTATTGTCACGCGGCTGATCCCAGACTACTGTCATGAAAAGACTCAGCATCAAGGCAGAGGACAGACCCTCAATGAACTGAGAGCGAATGGTTATTGGGTTGTCGGCGGTAGCAAAGCTGTGGCAAACTACATCAAACAATGTGTCACATGCCGGAGAGCACGTAGACCAACAGAGACACAGAAGATGGTAGATTTACCATGGCAGTGTTGACCCGTCCCCACCATTCTCCTATTGTGGGATGGATTGTTTTGGACCATTTCACACTAAACAGGGACGCAAAGAGTGTAAGAGATATGGTCTCATATTCACCTGCCTGTCTTCTAGGGCAGTTCATATAGAAATGTTAGAGGATCTAACGACTGATGCCTTCATAAATGCCTTACGCTGTTTTATAGCTATTTGTGGAGCTGTAAGACAAATCAGATCAGATCAAGGGACAAATTTTGTAGGGGCAAAAAATGAAATGATAAAGGCCTTGAAAGAAATAGACAAAGACAGATTAACTTCTTACCTAGCCAACAAGCAATGTGACTTCACCATGAACGTGCCTGATGCCAGTCACATGGGAGGTGTTTGGGAGCGGCAGATCAGGACAGTTAGAGGTGTCCTAAACTGGGTCCTGTCACAAAGCTCTGGAAGACTGGATGATGCTTCCTTGAGGACATTTCTTTATGAAGCTATGTCGATTGTAAACAGTCGCCCACTCACCACTGACAACATCAGTGATCCTAAAGGTTTAGAGCCACTTACTCCAAACGATTTACTCACCATGAAAACCTCCGTTCCACTGCCCCCACCAGGAAAGTTTGTGGCAGAAGATGTGTATGCCAGGAAAAGGTGGCGTAGAGTCCAGTATCTAACAGAGCAATTCTGGAGTAGATGGAGGAAAGAGTACCTGACAAACATCACTCTCAGACAGCGCTGGCACTCTCCAAGACGTAATGTGAAGGCTGGAGATGTTGTCATAGTCAAAGAGGAAGGAATACCCCGTAATGAGTGGAAACTTGGAAGAGTACTGGATGTGTGTACAGATGAAGATGGACTGGTGCGAAAGGCCACAATACAAACAGGAAATAGAGAGCTAGCAAAAGAGGGTCAGCAACACACCAACCACTCAATTCTTCAGCGTCCTATTCATAAATTAGTTGTGCTTGTAGAAAACAACAAAAATGGTGATGATTATCGTTAACTTGTTGTATAGATGTTGATCATTTAAGTTTGGAAATTACTAGATTTATTCAAATGTTTGCACAAGGATTTCATAAATCATAGTAATTTGGTGGGAGTGTAACTGTCCAAATGACAGGTTTCATTTGAGATGTGGGTTTATGTTCATTGTTAATGGTGAGAGTATTACTTTTGTTGGTAAAGAGGTTTATTTTGAAGGGCAGTATGTGTCAACCATGTGACTGGAGTTGAGTGAGGGGCGCCAAATGTGGCATTATGGGACAGAGAAGAGACAACATGTACAGAGAAGAGACATACAGCCCAAAGTTATCTGCACATGGTTCTAGAGGCGCAAACGGTAAATGTGTATATATTGTATTTGTGCTTGTTGTTCATTTGCCTCTATTTGTATATTTAAGATGGTTTATTATTACTTTGTTTGTAGTTTTCACGGTGTCTGAGGAGCAGAGAGGGAAATAAAACTTTCTAAAGACATCTGTATGAAGCGTGGCGATCCTTAAACTAGAACTAGACCAGTGCAGCTACAACTGGGGTATTGCAATTTGGTGCTGTGACCTTCGGAATTGGCTGAACTCTGAGCGGACGGTCCGAACCGGGTTGCCGGATTCAAGTTGGGAGTGGATGGAACCACAGATCAACATTTGCCCGCAATAATTACAGGTGAGCAGGAACCTTTTGCACATAATTCCTGCATATTGGATTTTACAAAATTTAGTTGATCTGTGTGGACTGTAAATTCCTGATTTAAAAATTGAACAATTACTGTAAGGATTATATATAACACTTTTATTTTGAAAATGTGCTGACGCTGTTTTTACCACACGTAAAGTTACAAATCACATAGTCTCATTTGAGGGCTAAAAAATAAGTGTTTTAGTTACAGAAATTGATGACTATCAGAGATGTAAAATCCACGTTAATAAGTGGCTAACCACAAATTTTGACGGTTGTCTCTAAAATTATTAGGATTTTTTGCTCTGATGGAAAGACTAACTTGCTGTGAGGCGGAAGTCACAGGAGGAGACTTCTCCGAGCGGAGCACAATTCTGAACGTCTAAATATTTACAAGACGATCACTGGAAACTGTTAAATGACAAAATAAGGGCACAGGGAAATATTTTTTGTTTTCTTTACCTGTGGGTGGATTTCTGCATGAAGGCTGTTTAACGCTGTCACATGCGTATCTGGTAGTAACAAGTGCTACTTGGAGAATTCCGTGTGAAACGGCGTACCTCTTGCAGAGCTGTGTTTGGTTCCGGGGTTGGCATAGCTTATGGAAAAACTGTATTATAGAATTTAGGGTGACGGCGGTGTTCATTGGAATTAAAACAGAGGTTTTGATTGGGAGAACCCCCAGCGGCCACGTGCATCAAAAGCTAGTTTTGATGTAGAATCTTTGTGATCGGGTTGGATTAACAGTTCTGGGCAGAGATCATTCCAGTTTTGAAACGCCAGTCACATGTGCATAATTATTAATATGTCTGTCAACGTTGTGCAAACCTGACACTTTGGGGTCATTACTCTATAGGGTTTTGTTTAAATGGTTGAATACAGTTCCTAAAGATGAGCAGGGGCCTATTTCAAGAAGGCGGTTTAACAAACTCAGAGTTCAAACCTGAACTCTGAGTTGACTTACCCAGAGTTGGAAAACTCTGAGTTTTCGGTTTCAGAACAGCTGAAAAGAGTTGGTTTAATCAACTCTGAGTTGTTTGACTCAGAGTTAGGCGCGTGCCACGCGACTATAAAAAGCCCTGAACAATGGAGTGAAGAAATTACGAGTCACCATGGCAACAGGACCAAGCCAAAATAGGTCTGCGTTTTTCCCCGACAGAAATGGATGTGCTACTACAAGCATATAGTGACTACGAGCCCATATTTC